CATCATCATCAACATCATCACCATCATTATGTACCTTGCCGTTTTTTTGAACAGATCTCTCTCATTAGATATAAGGAAAACAAACTTGCAATGACTTTTAAACAGCAAACTGCCTATTCCCCATATTTACCAGAAGCCAAAAACTCATTCAAAAAGGAAAAATATATTTGTCACCATATCAATGATTAGAAAGAAACCAATCGCAGAAACATCGACAAATAAATGCCACAAAACATCGACGCAATAACTAACGTAGCCTGATGCATGAAAAGATAGCTGAAAATTGTCCGGATGGCAACAACAAATTGGAAAATTGTAGAGCAATTAACGTCGACAAATGCTTGTCTTCACACGACCACGTGACCATTTTAAAGTTGTTTCCATACCACAGACAATGTGAATAATTCATTTCACGAGCGCCAAACGACAAAGAGGCCAGGCTAAGGATCTGGGCCACTTCAGTATCCGGTTTCGTCTTTATCCTGTTTTCCTTGCGTCTTTAAATACGGGTTAGTCCTGTTAGCTCGCCAGAGAGGGGGACGATAAAATGAAGAGGACACCGGGGTTTTGCCTAAAAGGCCAGCATATGATCCCTTCAGCACACCCAGATCCAAGCTGGTTACAATCACTAAAATCTAATTGATGACCAGTTTTCAGCTGAACCTGCAGGTGTTTTCTTCTTCTGTGTGGGTCCTACTGGATTATGGGGTAAAGTATCGCAGATAGGAGTTAGATGTCGTTTCCTGTATTTGGCTAGCTATTTAGCTTGATATACGGATGTCAATCATGGACTGTCTTTGATTTTGTAGCACAGAGAGTGACATAGAGAGAGTGAGAGAGAGAGTGTGTGAGGGAGACACAGAGAAAGAGTGAGAGAGTGACAGAGAGAGATAAAGAGAGAGAGAGAGAGAGAGAGAGAGAGTGAGAAAGCGACCGAGAGACATAGAGAGAGAGTGTGAGAGAGAGTGAAAGAGAGCAAAACAGAGTGACCGAGAGAAGAGAAACACACATAAATAGACAAAGAGAGAGAGAGGGAGAGACAGAGAGAGAGAGAAACACGCGCACAGAGAGAGAGAGACAGAAAAACACAGAGAGAGACATAGAGACAGAGAAACACGCACACAGAAAGACAGAGAAACACACGGAGAGAGACAGAGAGAGAGAGAAATACACACACAAAGGGAGACAGAGAAACACACACACAGATCGAGAAAGAGAGACACACACGCAAACAGAGAGAGCGAACGAACAAACGAACGAGCTTTATTTTCAAAGAGTTACAAATATGGGCACGCAGGCCTGTCTTACATAAGGCCCTTCCACCTTTCACACAGCAGTTGTATTTTATCGTTTGAGACAGAGACTAAGAATGAAACACACACACTCACACAGGAAGAGAGAGAGAGAGAGAGAGAGAGAGAGAGAGAGAGAGAGAGAGAGAGAGAAAGAGAAAGAAAGAGAAAGAGAGAGGAAGAGAGAGCGAGAGATGTTTGTTATTTCTTGAATTAACATATGTTAAACGTGCCAATCAGAAAAAAAAAAAAAGCCGCGAGCCATCAGTTGGCACCAGCCTTGAGCCCGTTTACAGGGCGTTCGTTGATGAACTGGTCTGATTGGCGAATCTCAGGATTGACGTTACGGTGGGTGCACACATTAAACATTTATCAGCCAATGTGCAGTTATCGCCTGCAGTTGTCATATTGAAATTAATAATTATATTGTTTCGTTGAGCCGTTTCCAAGTAGAAAAATTTTTCTGTTGCACGCGTTTCATTTCACTATTTTTATTGTTATCTATTGATAAGCCTTAAAGGTATAGTACATTAATCGGTAGGCTTTGTTTGTTTATACTACATGATCTATTCTACACTGGGGTATAGATGTATTCTTTGATATTATATACTGTTTACTCCTTTGCCTTTGATGTGTGTGCGTCTTATGGTTTTATGTACGCTTTCCACTTTGATGTTTAATTTAGAGTTATCTTACGGTTTTATACAGTCTTTCGGTTCTTTTCTTTTAATTCACCCAATCTCGGTGATTCTGATGTTTCGTGGGGAGTTCCCAGGAAAAGTCTAACAGTATAGGGGTGTTGGGGTGTGAAAGGAACACAGACTAATACTAGCCCTAAACCTACCCTCCCTCCCTTATATTGGACTCACCCGGGAGCTCCCCACGACATCTCTGAGTCCCCCAGTTAAGGTTAAAACTAAAAGAAAACTACAAGTACCAGTCTTTCCTTTTCTAGGTTGGATTTTAGAGCCATCTGACGTTATCGTATAACCTTTTCTCTTCTACGTTTGATATAGCCATTTTAAGTTGTTATGTGGTCGTTCCTCTTGTAGGTTTGATATACAGGCATGTCACGGTATTATATAGTCTTTTCTCTTCTAGTTTTGATATACGGACATTTTACGGTATTAAATAGTCTTTCCTTTTCCTTTCCTTTTTTATAGGGGCATTTTACATATTATAAAGTCTTTCCTTCTAGGTTTGATAAAAAGACACGTCACGGTATTGTACAGTCTTTCTATTTCTAGATTTGATATAGGGGTATTTTATGGTATTATATAGTCTTTCCACTTCTAGGTTTTATAAAGAGGTATGTTACGGTATTATATAGTCTTTCCACTTCTAGGTGTGATAAAGTGGCATGTCACGGTATTGTATAGTCTTTCCACTTCTATGTTTGATTTAGAGACATTTTACATAGTTATATAGTCTTTCCATTTCTACGTCTGTGATCGAGGCATGTTACGGTATTATACAGTGCTGGTTTTTTTTAACTCAGCGTTTATAGCGTAGGCGTGGTATACGGGGTTTGTATTTCCAGGATATCGGCTTCGACTTTAACAAACGTCGATTTGGCAGTTGATCTTTTTTTTTTGTGAGCTGATTTCGATAATTGGTATTGAGAACCAGCTGTTCTGAAGTAGTGGCAAACTACTGACCGTACTGTGGTCTGATAAAATAACAAACAGCCGACAAAATGCTGCAGCTGGTTCTGCAACGTCATGTAAAAATAATTTTGAAAAAAAATTAAACTTTTAACCCCCACACCTCTTTATTTTCTACGTTGCCCAGGACATTCGAGTGGGCGTGTTATTAAACAGGATAATAGATCAGCTGCTGTCGTTCCTCTAGGCAGTGAGCTACTTGACAATAATTCGGACGTGCTGATGACTCTGTGATTAAGTATATTTGCAGCAAAACAGACAGAGGAGAGAATGCTTTAGCTGGGAGTCAGCAATCTGGACGATTTTCTAACCGCAGGGGCTGGGATTGGGGGGGGGGGGGAGCCAGCGAAAATTGATTCAGGTTACAACTGGCACCATCACTTTGGTAGCTCTTTGCTAGCACCCCAAGGAGGAGACGGAGCACGCGTGGGGTTGTCCCGAGTGCAGTTTTGTCAGTTGTTACTTCATTCATTCATCCATTTATCCCGCTCTACCTTTGCTATAGGAGCTTTTTTATAGTATTATATAATCTCTCCTCCTTTACATTTGACACATAGATATTTAAAACGTTATATAGTTTTTGATGGTGTCTCTATACTGAGCCATATATATTTCTCGCACTTGTTTGAACGATACTACAATCAAACAAGTATGAGAATTCAAATATCTAGGAAGCATATTTACTGAGAATGGCAGACTCGACAGAGAGATAGAAGCTAGAGTACAGAAGGCAAATTCTGTCACCTACCAGTTAGCTCTACTGCTTAGACACCCAAATGTCTCCCTTCCTTGAAAACAGTAAATGATTATTAGCATATTTATCCCTACTTTATGCTATCAGTGTTAATGAATTAATCAAGTAACAGAAAGTGTATTGATTGGCACTCATAGAAAGAAGTAGAAAGATAGAAGAACACACTAGAAAACATAAAAAATCGAAAGCTATAGTTACCGTGCCGGGAATTGAACCTGTCACCTCTAGACGGTGTGTGCGCTCAGCCATGGATACAAGTGCACTAAGAACATGGTCAACTATGCACCCTCCAAAAAAGGTGTCTTATTGGCCTTGTCTGACGTACAGCTTGAAATCCACAACTATGGAATACGGACAGAATTCATTTCAAACCATTGAAATAGCACCATAGGTTACAGAAATTTATATTAACGAAGCATATGTGGAAAACTCTGGCGGAAAGTTCTGGTTGTTCATCCACCTGTTCCAGAATCTGAGTGTTGCGTGTTCATCCGTTTTACAGATCTGACTCATTTGTACGCAGACTGCTGGTTCCTTGTCTCCCAGGCAGAGGCACTCCGACTTCGAAGGAAGCTCCAAATTAGTCGATTCTCACACGCTTTTGCGTAGGCAGTGGGTCTGTTCTTGATTTCCCTATATTAGGGCCCCTGAACCCACACGGGGAAGACAGCTGAGACATTTTTAAAGAGACGAAGGTTTAAAGACAAATTATCACAAGCATCAGAAAGAGACAGTCATCATATCTAGCTGTGTCGTGAGACAAAGGGAATTGAAACATTTTGTGACCACTGGAAAGATGTGTAAAAAAAAAGAGACATAGGAAGACAATGCGAGAAGACTTGTGACAGTATTTTGTCATGGCAAAAAGGGGTGTCAACACACGAACTGATACATGCTGTTGAAGTTCACAAATTGTGGTGAGGCATGATCGCCTAAGCCAGTCGAAGAGGTACTTGATGATGATGGTGAATCCAGAATCAAAGAAACAGAGACACATTAGCGAATAAACAATCATTGCGTTCATTTATATAACTTTATTGTTTTTAAACCTTCTAAATTTATTATTCCTATTTAAATAATGCTTTCCCCATTGCCGTTGCCTCCAGCCATTTTCGCTTGTTTGTTTCTTTTGAAAAGATCTGATTTAGCCTAGACGCCATCAAACGCCTGCAACGCTATTGGAACATTAACCAGTTTCCCTTAAATTATTTAACGAGCCATCAATTCTCAATGATACCTCAGACATTACCTCAGCCCCTCCCTCTGATTTGTCTGTTTATTCTATTCCAGGTTTACAGACAATGCCAGACAGACATTTTTCCACGAATCTTCATGAAAACAAGACTGCCATTTTCCGACCGGAAACCGGAAATTTGTTGCCTTGGGACCAATCACAGCAGTCGGTTTATCCTCCTGCCGCGCCACCTGCCTCGAATGACCCAAGGGCAATAACTCCAATTACGAGAAGTGATATCAGCAGAGCAACGTCTCTTCATGAAAGTAATTCTCGTAATGGCGAAAATAATCAGAGCGCGTTAGAAAAAGCGCTTCAGGACAAACATTTTATTTCAGAATCCCAAAATCCGGTGTCAGTAATTTCTAATTCTGAAAAATCTTGGGGTCTTGCCCCCACTGACGCTGAAAATAATGATATACGTGTACAAAATGGTGAGTATGTAAACAAAGAAGACAACTGTATCAAGGAGCAAGAAGCTGCTAGTGTGACTCTGAGTAATCAAGAATCAAACGTTGATTTCTTTAATGGAACATTTATAAAAAACCACAATGATGTAACTAATCGAATGAATGAAAACAGTTCGAGACTCGTCTACGAAACATTTCCAGAGCATAGTCCTGAGCATAGAAGCGAATGTGGTGAGGTACCTGGTGGCGTGAACACCGTTGAACACGCCGGCAGTGATGTTGTGGTCGATGACTGTCATGGTGATGATGATGATGATGACTCTCTGGACAAGGAGAAGGATTTGGAGGAGATGGGGAAGCGGAAACAGCGCCGGTACCGAACCACCTTCACGAGCTACCAGCTGGAGGAGTTGGAAAGGGCCTTTCAGAAAACCCACTACCCTGATGTTTTCACCAGGTGAGATGGGAGTTTTGTTGGTGAATTGTTGTTCAGTACGGTAGTTTGTTGGGGAATTATTGTTAAATAGATTGATTCTTCTACTTCTTCTTTGTTTTTTTTCTTCTTATTCTTTTTCTTCTTCTTCTTCTTCTTCTTCTTCTTCTTCTTCTTCTTCTTCTTCTTCTTCTTCTTCTTCTTCTTCTTCTTCTTCTTCTTCTTCTTCTTCTTCTTCTTCTTCTTCTTCTTCTTCTTCTTCTTCTTCTTCTTCTTCCTCTTCTTCTTCTTCTTCTTCTTCTTCTTCTTCTTCTTCTTCTTCTTCTTCTTCTTCTTCTTCTTCTTCTTCTTCTTCTTCTTCTTCTTCTTCTTCTTCTTATTATTATTATTATTATTATTATTATTATTATTATTATTATTATTATTCACTTCGTCTTTTACCGCTTCGAGTGTCGAGGGAGTTATAAGGTTCTGCTGCTTGCTCTTCTAGCCGCGTCGACCTTAGACATGGCGTGCTGTTGTAGAGTTTCTCTAATGTTAGCTTTTCTTCCTGTTCATTGTATATCTTGTGCTCTACGCCCTTCTCCTCTTTAAGTGTAAGCTGTGTATGGTATGGTGTCACAAGGCATTCTCTTTAAGTTGGCAAATCCTTTGATTTGTTGTCTTTGTATGTAATTTAGAATTGGTTCTGTGTCGATATTTTTCTTTTATGAAATCCTTTCTGATTTCATCCAGTCGTCATAGCATGTTCAAGTTTCTTTCTTTTTATAACGAAGACAAATACAAAATGTTAACTGTCTGTTTTTACTGACTGTTTTAACTGTCTGTTCATGATATGTGTGATACGTTGTCTGCAAACCCTGGTTGATTCATATAAGATTGGATTACAGTCCTGTGGGAGCTAGGTTGTGTTTATTAGTCGGCATAAGCCGATCTTACCTTATTCTTGTCAGTAGCACGTGATTTGTTCGGCGTGACTGGCTACATTTTACTTATTTGTGAAATCTCTTGTACGTGATTTTAACACTGAAGAAAGACAACCTGCAGAATATAAGAACGGCGAAGGAAGAAATCAAAAGCCATTTCTCTCACTCTTCATCAAATCATCGCCAAGGATACCTTGTTGATTTTTGTTGATTCACAAGCCACGTCTAATCCTTCCAGGGCGACCGTTTGCATTTGGTTAATGTTTAGACGCCATTTTGCTGATGCCCGGATCACGTCAAACAAAGGTAACGAATAACAGTTTGTGTGTGGAAATCCAAAAGTCAATTTACCTAGTCTCCTTAATCGCCACGGACAAATCTGATTCCGGTGCCCCTGAGAATTTCAGTTAAAAGTGTTTGCCCGCTCGCTGTCTTGTTTATTTGCCTGCCCTCTCAGTGCAGCTCGAAAACTGGGCAGTCACGAAGCAATTCTAGACAGGTAAAAAACTCGATTTCCTGACGCGAAACCAACAAAGACAATACAATAAATCTGTGTGGGAAAAGAAGAACAAATATTGTTCAGTGGGAAGATCGGATCCTTTTTGAAGACTGCAGGTCTGACGGTCACCGATTTCATGGTCGTTGCTGTTGACTCCTGACTTGCGGCGAATTCTGAGTGTTAATGTGAACTATCTGGTGGTGCTCTAGCAGTGGGAAGCAACGCTCACTCACTAGAAATTCACATAAATAAACACAGGGGGAGCTCTTGAAAAGAGATCTCATACTTCTTCATCTTAGCATTAACCGAGCGTAAACTCCGGCGGAAATTTCTTGTTGTTCGTCCACTCTAGGACTTTGGTCTTGATACAGAACATAAGTTTTTGCGTGCACATCCTGTTTTACACATCGGATTTAGTTGTATGCCGAATGTTGGCTCCTTGCCTCTCGGGCAGAGGCACTGCTATTTTAAAGGAAACTCTCCTAATAAGTCGCCTCCTACGACATACTTGCTAGGAGACAGTTGATCTATGATGTGTTGGGTCCAAAATGGTGCAACAGAACCCTCACGGGGAAGATTTCATATTAAAATCGTACTCACATTTTGGAGGCATGTTCAGCTTTGAAATGTAAAGTATAGCGCTATTTGCAATGCTTTCAGACATATTGTGATATCGTCAGTTCTCGTTATGCCTAGTGGCTCATAAGGCTTCAGGGAGGACTTTCCATGCTTTCCTGTCCTGTGCAATCTTCAGTGCAGTTTTCCATGTCAGAGATGCCGCACTCAGCTCACTTTCCACCGTTCGTCTCCATGTTGTTTTTTGGGCGCCCCTGTTTTCTCTTTCCCTCTGGTGTCCATATGAAAGCTGTTTCGGCAGGTATATCAGGATTCATTCTCATAATGTGGCCAAACCATTTCCATCTTCACTTGGTTATCGAGCTAGACCTATATTCTATAGAGTCAGTAGGTGATCTGAAACGCTGACTTCCTTTACTTCCTAGGACTTTAACTGGTACTCTATATCGACCTGGGACCAAGGTCACTTTTATAGAAGAACAAAAAGTACGGATCAAAATAAAATTTGAACCAACCAGGGGAGCGTCTAGCCGCTCCATCAAAGTGGTTTTTCCAACTTTGACGCCAGAGAATCGAATTAATGTGTGCTTGCATGAACCGCTAATGGACAAGGGCGTTGGGACCTGAGGGTCAAGCCACCTTGGACCCCCTTCTGTTTCAGCGTAGGAGAACAAGCTGCCCCACCAAGTATCAAAGTTACCTTTTCACTTTAAAAAAGTAAAATTGTTCCATGTTGATGAATAAAATTACTTTCTTAAAATGGTACATTTTCCACGAAGACGATGCAGAAACACTACTCATACAAACCTACAAACACTTATTGTCGCCAACTTGAAAGCGAAAGCTGGGCAGAGAGGCGAATGGAGACGGTGATATCTGCTGCAATGAACCTTAAGGACTAGGAATGCTGAAGAAGAAGAGAAGAGGACGGAAAAAGTGCTGCCGAGACAGTTGAACTGATAAGACAAGTTAATAGGGATGAATGTTTGATTCTATGCACATATATTTAGGTATCATTCACATGCCATTTGAAATGAAGCTAGGCCGGGACATATATTGTTTTCTTCATAGTGATAAACTTATTGCCAAAGTCAGAGAACAGACACACGAAGATCGATGTCTGACTGTGATGGTGATGGCAAATGGATTTGATGTTAACAGAAAAGTGATCTTTGCCCTATGCGCGCATACGTAACCATTTACATCCCACCAGCTAAAAGAAAATGGCTGGCTTCTTGTCGTCCACTGACCGGGCGGCTTTGCAATTTTTCCTGATAATAGATTATTGTTGTGTATTTGATTTTCACGATAAGCTTTGCTTCATGCATGACGTTCTTGTCCTGGCCATATCTAAATCAATCTTTGGATTTAATTGTGACACAGGTGGTGTGTGTGCGTGTGTGTGTGTGGGTGGGCGGGCACGGATACGTGTTTATATATATATATATATATATATATATATATATATATATATATATATATATATATGTGTGTGTGTGTGTGTGTGTGTGTGTGTGTGTGTGTGTGTGTGGGCACGTGCATGGGTTTATATATATATGTGTGTGTGTGCGTGTGGGCACAAGCATGTTTTATATATATATGTGTATGTGTGTGTCTATGTGTGTGTGTGTCTGTGTGTGTGTGTGTCTGTGTGTCTGTGTGTGTGTTCCAGTTTTACTGACTGTTTCCTTCATGCATCCACAGAGAAGACCTGGCCATGAGAATAGACTTGACAGAGGCCAGAGTTCAGGTAGAGAAATATGTATATTCCGTTTCACGTATGTCTAAGCGCGAGCGGGTCCCACTGTGAGTCGTTGCAAATTTGTTTATATGTGTGTTCATAAATATTGTAAGTGTATATGTGTTCATGTGATCCCATTACCTCTTAAAAGAATGTCGTAACAGGCGACCTATCAACGATATTCTGAAATCGAAATGACTGATATGAAAGGTGAATATTATAATATTATTATGTGTGTTTGTGACTGCTATACTGGTGTACAACTCTTTGTCTTCGCGAACTTGTTCTTGTGTGCGTTTCTGAATTGTGTAGTGTACATTGTGTTGCGGTGATTTTGTGGGCAACAAATAGACACAGTGCCCCTGCTGTCGTAAAAGGGAAGTTTTGAAAAGGTTGCTGAAACTGACTTGGGCCTTAAGACTTATTTAGCGCAACAGCATGTAAACAGCAACACAATGTGTCAACCGACCTTCTGCGAGTATACCCTAATGTGCATTTGTGCTGTTAGTGTGTATGTGTTCATGTAATTTCCTCTGTGACCGTACTGATGTGGTCTCTCTCTCTCTCTCTCTCTCTCTCTCTCTCTCTCTCTCTCTCTCTCTCTCTCTCTCTCCTGTCTGTGTTTGTGTCTGTAAGTGAGTGTAAGCACGCGTTATTTAACAATTAGGTTCTTTCTTAATATTTCACCACAAACAGGGGAAATCCACAGTTCACGGGACTACTAATATTTCAGGGGGTGGTAGATAGGCTGCATGCAGTCGTGGGACCTAGGCTACACTCTCTTGTGGGACGTAGGTGGGTTAGGGTTAGGGCCAGTTCTAGATGTTTTTGGGGTCGTTAAAGGCATCAGACAGAAGAAAACCCAGTCTTACCAACCTCAAAAATGTTGGGCTGTGCTGTGACGTCATTTGGGGGGGGGGGGGGGGGAATTACAGAAGAAATAAAAATTAAAATTACGTTACTGAGATTCAAATCTGGTTCTCTTGCATGTGAGCCTAGCGCTCTCACCGCTGGACCAGTCACTCCACATGTGGTGATGGTGTAAAAGATAATCTTCTTTTCCTATGTAAAATAAATTAAATAGCCCTTTTCCAGGCATATTGGGCATATAGTGCTGGACCTACATGTGATAGATCTATGGGCACTCAGTGGATGATGATGATGTGGTCAGCATCGTGCTAATCTCCTTTATTCCCCATAACTTTTTACCTGTACCTATTAAAGGCTTGTCGCCCTAGGAGCCAAGGTCTCTCTTTTTTTTTTAACCCGGTTCCGTTAGATT